ACTTATTTTTTGTATATAAACCATTTTCATTCATTCTTGACCTATTTCTTCTCATTTTACCATATGCAATATGCTTAAGTAGCCCATTTGCACTTTATTCAATTCGGTGATGATTGATAATTATGTTGCCTTCAATTTGCTGTCAACTCTTGGCAACCACATAAGTAGCTTTTCTCTACAATGATCTATTCTCAGTCTGGTCCTTTGTATCTTTTAGTAGTATACCCTATGCTTCTATAATTGAGTGCATCCACTTTGCTACTCTTCATCCTCTTGTTTTCTCATTTCTTCCACCTTTGCCAGCTTGCAGATCTGCATTTTCAACTATCAGAATAATGTCATCAATACTGTAATAGCACATTCTCCTTTTTGACCCAAACTGATGTATTCCATTTTTTTTTCTATGAAAGGTTTGTATGTCATTCCCAATAATCTGAGCTTCCTCCTTCAGTAACTAAATAAATCATAGGCAAAGTATTCTCAGAAGCTTGTGTCCTTCAGATTCTTTCTCTCCTGTCTTCTGTGCATCTATTTTTCCCTTTTCTGATGTTCTTTGAATATATTGATTGATTAATCCTTTGATGACAAGTATTTTTACAGTATTTGTGAAACACGCTTATCTTTGCAATCATCTGAACAAGCAACCAAATACACTTTGATTGATTCAGTTTGTTCTAGTTATGACCTTAATATCTTCTTTTTTGTTTATGTATCTGTCAGCAAATAATTTTACTGACATATTTTATATGGCTAATTTTACTGAACTGATATTAATTCTGGTTGTTCACATTTGTTTAGTTGTTTAGACTTTTTTGGGGGGGGGCTGCCCATCTAAGAAACTCTGATGGTGAACGCCATAAAAATTGAGACACTCATTAAAAGAAAAAAGTCAACTAAAACTACTTTGAGATTCAATACAAAATATGAAACCATTAGATAAATCTATTGCAGATCATCCATCCCATCTCCATTGCTTAGGAAAATCCAAGTTTTCATGGCTTTGCTAAAGGCCAATAATTTTGCTGGTGGCTAAGAAAAATAACTGCAGCTAAATTTGCCCACAGCATTTGACACTTTTGATCATAAAAGTCATTTATTGTCTGAGTTAATTAGCCAACTGTGATAAGATTTCCAAATTGGTTTTAATATATATTTCTTATCACATATTTTCAGTGAAGTGGAAGGGTCTCTACTCTCAGTTCTTTAAATTACAAGTTGTCCTTGATTTACAACAGTTCATTTAGTGACCATTCGAAGTTACAACCACACTGGAAAAAAGTGACTGATGGCCATTTTTCACACAACCGCTGCAACATCCCCTTGGTCACGTGATCAAAATTCAGATACTTGGCAACTGACTCATATTTATGACAGTTGCAGTGTCTCAGGGTCATGTGATCCCCTTTTGCAACCTTCGAACAAGCAAAGTCAATGGGGGAAGCCAGATTCACTTAACAACCATGTTACTAACTTAACAACTTCAGTGATTCATTTAACAACCGTGGCAAGAAAAGCCATAAAATGAAGCAAAATTCACTTAACAAATGTTTCGCTTAGCAACAGAAATGTTGGGCTCAATTATGGTCAAAAATTGAGGACTACCTGTATTTGATGGATTATTTGTTTGTTTAGTTTTTATGCCACTACAAAATGACTCTGGGCAGCTTCTGTTGTTGTTTCTCAGAGTCTGATATTAAGTCCATTCTTGTATATTTGTACACCTTGTTGTTGGGTTGTTGTTTTTATTTCTTTCCTTTTTCAGATCTATGTTGATATTCAGGTTTATTTTGCCATTGTCTTGGATGACGCAGCAGAGCCTTCACACTTTTAAATAGCAAACTTGGAATTCCACTTTATTGAGTTCAAAGCTTAGAGTTGATTCGTGTTTCTTCCCTTTCTCTCTTTTCCCTTCCTTTATATCTTTTCCCTTCCGCATTATCAGTTGCAAGTATTTTGTGCGGTATGTAATTTTGCAGTTTGTACTTACGAGAAACTTACTTTAAAACTTTTGATCAATAAAGCTGCAATAATGTGGATTTTTTTTTGACTTTTAAATACTTAAGAGTATCCTGCTCATCTCTTAATTTGGAAATAGCTAAGCAGTTAGTTCTCACCTTGGTGATGTCCCACCTAGATGGCTGCAGGAGTTGAGTATGGCTCTCTAATTTTTCTCTCTTTCTCCTGCTCTATGCTCAAATGTTGCAGTTCTAGATCTCTCCTAGCTTATCCTTATCTCTCTCTTTGTTTTTGTCAGTCCCTTCCTTGGTGGGAGCTTTTGGTAATTAATCAGTTTAAATTACTGGTAAAAGACTGGCCTTCTGAGTCATACATATAAGAACATTCAGTTATTAGAATAACTTGATTACAGTTCCTGTATACATAACTTGATAATGTAACTGTGGTCTGTTAGATTCTCTGGAATCAAATGTCTTTATGTCCTGAGGTTCTTATAAAGCTTTTGCAGAACCATTCTTGACCCAGAGAAATGTTTTCTCTCATTATTCACCACTGATGTGTACTTAAATGATGTTAATATTAGGAAATGTTTCTATTGGTTATTGTCCTGTAGTAAGAAATTATCATGCTGATTTGTTGTAGTATTGTTTTTTTCTGACACATATTTTTTATTTACCAGTACTGCATGGACACGTTCTAAATTAATCTTCATCTCTTCCTCTTCTTCTGACATTCCCAATTCTCACTTTCCTCAACTTTTCTCTTTGCTCTTTCCCAAGACAGAAAGGATAATTGTTGAAGCATGGCTGTGGGGATGAATGCTTAGTTTGATGGTGCCATTTGTTTGGAAACGTTTTTCTCGGCACACCACTAAGTTTAGAAAATGGGTCCTATTATCCTTGGTGTTGGAAAGCTTTTAGCAATTCATATACGTAAGCCATAAGTTATCATTGATGTAATTAATGAACTTAAAAGAAATGAATTCTTTCATAAAGTTTATGGTAAATGTCAATGGACAATCAACTATAACCACAAATAAAACACGGGTTAGCTGATTACTAGTTCGTTACTTGTATATACTTAAAAAAACCCCGAAAGCCATTATGTTGTCACCTTTTTCTTTTATCAAGCATTTTGGCAACGTCTATCACAGTCACTATAGTTAATAGTAGATTTTCAGATTAATATGTAGATTTTGCTTGACTTTTGTTATGAGTAGAAAGCATGAGAGCTAAAGTCCTGAATATGTTATGAAGGCATAATATTTTGCTCCATTTAAAATCCTCCAGTTGCCATAATTCTGCTAAAAGGGCAAAGTGAATCAAAAGATTAGAGAGGTGGAGAAGAAATGCAGAAAGTCTTATCAATAGAGCTAAATATTGAAACAATAAATATTTTGCTGGATGTACAATTGGTGACTGCAATCCTTGCACCCAAGAAGCATTAAACATACACCTTAAACACAACATTACTGCTACTTTTTGCAGTAAGCTGCTATTTCCAATCATAGATTAGCAAGGACAGTAATTAGCAAATTTTAGCTTAATGTCGGATTTGGTTCTGGTTTTGGACCATGCTGAACAAATTTGGAAGACAAGCAGTGCAGTGCGCAGGGCCAGGGAGACAGAGTGGATAGAGGCATAACCCTTAAGATTGGTTTCATACATGTTTTTTCCATCCTGGAGGAGAAATGTCATAAACTACTAGTTAGGTTGTTGTCCTCTTGTTTTGTTTCATTTTATAAATTTTTATTAAAGTTTATGTTAACATAACATACAAACAGAAATAAAAATAATAGGAAAATGGAGGAAAGAAGGGAAAGAAATGTGAATTAGAGGGAAATAAATAAAAAATGTAGTTTAATGTAGTTGCAACCTCAACATTTTTACTTTAGTAATAAGGTAAAAGTAAAAAATAAAATGGAGGTTGCAGCTACACTACAAGTAGTCCTTGTCATACAACCCAAAATTTCTGTTGCTAAGTGAGACATTAAGTTAAGTGAGTTTTGCCCCATTTTACAACCTTTTTTGCTACAGTTGTTAAGTGAATCATTGCAGTTGTTAAGTTAGTAGCACGGTTGTTAAGTAAATCTGGCTTCCCCATTGACTTTGCTCGTCAGAAGATTGCAAAAGGGACACTGCAACCATCATAAATGTGAGTCAATTGCCAAGCATCTTAATTTTGACCACATGACTGTGGGATGCCGCAACAGCCATAAGTGTAAAAAATGGTCATGTCACTTTTTTCAGTGTCATTGTAACTTTGAACGGTCACTAAATGAACTGTTGTAAGTCGAGGACTACTTGTAATTAACAATACTAGCCATTTCTATAACAACACTCTAATCAGCAAAACCCATAGTCAAAGTTTCATCCCCCCCCCCCCATTTTGAACACAAAAGTCTAACTAGAAGCAGTTCCTTCTCTTGGTTTGGGAAGGAACGCCGATGCCTCATAAGGCCTGTGAAGTGCCTGATCTGAAAAAATGAAGCTTTTCTTAAGGAGTCGTTTATGGACGTCTGAGATTGCCCATCTCTAGTTATTCCTTCCAATCTATATGTTTCTATATTCTTAGTTTCTGTAAATCAAGATGCCAAGGAGCATAAAGGCGTCTTGGGCTTGAAAACGTCAGTTTAAATGTGGTGATACACCTGCTATTTTCAGGAGCACAGATTGTGGAAGCACTATGCTGCCGGCAGCTTTCCGAATCTGCAAGTGTGAACGACACTATAGGATTTGTTACTGCTGTTGAGGCAGTGGTAGAACAGAGAAGTTGCTGATAGAGCTTTATGGGGGAAAGATTATATTTAAAACTAATAGCTTCGGGGCTACAGCAGTCTGCTGCCTTGAAAAATGCTGGAATTGAGAACTTCTCACTTTCCTCTCACATTGCCAAGCATTTCATTTTTGAAAAGCTTGTAGTTGGCTGCTCATACTGTACATAACTATAATCTTCACATCAGACGCTAACCCATATGCATGGCATAGTCTCTAAATGGAGATTTCTTTCTCTCTCCCTTTCTCTCTCCATCTTTAGAATGAGAAATGTGTTCCTTGAAAATGGATCTGCCTTCTCATGTCTCACCAGCAAGCGTTATAGAAACAATTGCTTTCCAACTAGCGTGCAGTCCGGTAGATAAGAAAGTCGCTCTGCGCTTAGATGAAGAAGATGAGCTAAAACACCTTCGCGAATGTTTCCACATTCCCAAAGTGACGGATCTGCCTCCAAGTAAGAAGTGCAAGTATACTAAGGTGGCTTTGCGGCGGGTTTTTTTTTTGTTTTTTTTTTGCATGCCTCTGTTGTAAATTGCGGGAATTGTTGCCGCTTAACAGAGCAATGGAGTGCTGGCAGCCACCTCTCTGAACCCAGCGTGTTTCTTGCATTGCTAAATCAAGGCCTCAAGTTGAATACTCTATGTTCTCACTCCTGTCCTGAACAAACGAATGAATACAATGCAGCAGCCCTTGTGTGGTGCTTATGCTGTCACTCACCTCCCTGAACAATATAGCGCCTGATTGAAAATTGTAGGCAAGAGCATATCTTAATAGATTTTTGCTGCTTGCTTTTAGTACTTATTGCACAAAAGAAAAGAAAAAAAAAGCCTCAAGCCTACAGGCTTTGCTTTGGTGTTGTTGTTGTTGTTAATTGTTAGAATCCATCAAAATCTTCCATATAAATGTCTGGAATGAGAGCAGTCTGAGAGGAATAATTATGCTAGGATAGTTGGCCTTAATGGTTAATTAAATAATTGTACAGATTGATTAATTAAAACAATGTCCTTGATTAATTTTATAAGACCCTCACAGTAATTAATTGTGTTAGAAGTATATATTCCAAGTACACATATATTATACAGCTCCTTTCTGTTGTCCGGCTGAAAATGTTTCTTTTAATATGTTTGCTGCAACTGTGGTAACATATCTAAAATTCAGGAGTAATTGTATTAAAGTGCAAAGAGAGAGAGAGAGAGAGAAAATATATTGATTAGTAAAACACTTGATTAAAATCAATACAACCAATAAGAATAAAATTTCTTAAATCTGGTGACAGGCCTGTTTGTTACTCTTAGGACTTAAACCTTAGTAATGGCTTCCATTCAATTCATTTGAAAAATATCTGGTATGGTGGGAGGGGAGTCAGGGGAAGAGGATTCTCAAATAATTTCTCTAAACCAGTGTTTCTCAACCTTGGCAATGTTAGGACATGTGGACTTCAACTTCCAGAATCCCCCAGCCAGCAGCCTTGGGAGTTGAAGTCCACACATCTTAACATTGCCAGGGTTGAAAAACACTGCTCTAGACCAATCTGAGGCCAAGAAAATGAACCACCTCTCATCAATATTCAGTAATTGGAGAAATATCATTCCATTATTTGAGAATTCAGGGATACATCTGAATAGATTCTGAGTAGGGGTAGGAAAATTGCCATTGCATGGCTTTATATTACATATTATATTTTAAACATAGTAAATGTTTTTCATATATTATTTCATTCCATCACTTTGTGATTTATGCTTTTTTAAGAAAAAAAAACTTTTGCGAAATTTACATTTGCTACTATTCACAACTTTTTTCACCATATGCAAAGTATTGCGAAGAACACTTCCTAAATTATACTTTAACAATATATACCAGGGATCTTCAAACTTGGCCCTTTTATGACTGGTGGTCTTCAACTCCCCGAATTCCTCAGCCAGCGTGCCAGGCTGAGGAATTCTGGGAGTTGAAGTCCACAAGTCATAAAAGGGCCACGTTTGAAGACCCCTGATATATACTAACTTACTATGCACATTCCCACTTTTTTGGGTAGATCTTTCCCAAATAGATCATATTTTATGGTGGTGGCAGTTGTAGATAGATTATCTTCTTTCAGCCTATTATTTCTATGCAGGCTGTTAAGCTCCCCTAGTTTTGAGCAAGGGATATGCATTTTTCCCCAAGCTTTTTTGTGTGGCAGGGATCAAATGAGGTGCCTCCAATGACACTTTGCAGTAGAATTCCTGGTCCTGTATGATTTGTTGGGAATCTCTGAAACTGTGTGAGTCCTGGTTGAATCTTACGGAGAAGAAAGATCTCATGTGACCTGGAACACATTTGTGAATGAGAGACACAGTCAGTTCACATATATCTGTATCTATGTCTATCTATCTGTATATCTTTTGAGAAGGAATTGTGCTTACCTTCTTTTGAGGTAGGCTTTAAGAAGTCTGATTTTGACAAGTCTTGCAGAGGAAAATAGGAGAGTCTGTTTTGAAATGTGATGAATTTTAACAATGGCAAATGCTTTAAAATATTTGTTCTTCAGGGCAAAAGCTCAGTTTAGCCAATGAATTTGTCACAGTAGCCCCTTCCTTGTTTTTATTCAGCTGTATAATTTTTCCATTTATAAACTTTTCAGATTAACATGTTCTTAGTTGTAATTGGAGGTAAAGATCTTACTTTCATTTTGGCTGTGAAAAATCTTTGACTAATTCTAATTAATGCTTTTGGCAATTTAGTTGGGAACGGATAATTGTTGCAGATGTAAAATGCACCTATAAAATGTAAAGTCACATAGTATTTCTCTGCTATCCTAATTCAAGGTTCATATCTGGTTTTGTTTATTTTGTTTGTTGTTTACTTATTTATTGATTGATTGATCTAAAAAGCTCTTAAATAGACTTCTATAAAGCATTTCTTATACTTCTATGGAGATTCTCAGTTATCCAGGTCATGGTTGTCAAGGTGCTTTTTCAGGAGACAACTGGACTTTCTTGTTTTTCTTTGAAGATGTTTTGCTATAAATCCTTCCATTTCCCACCATCTAGTCAGAACTGAAGAAGCTTCTTGGATGAGAAGCGAAACGTCTTGAAAGAAAAACAAGAAAGTCCAGTTTCCTCCCATGACCTGGATGACTAAGAATCTCCATAGACATTTAACTATGCACTTTGGGATAGACACCCTTCAAATGGTGCAGAAGTATGAACAGATTTCCAGAAAACATTGCAGACTACAGGAACAGGGCAGAAAAAATTCTGCAGCCAAGAAGGCTCCACATACATTTGCACTACTCAGGTGACCCTGAGGTCACAGGTAAACTTCCAAATGGCTTCAATGACTCTCTAAAACAGGGGTCTTCAAACTTGGCCCTTTTATGACTTATGGACTTCAACTCCCAGAATTCCTCAGCCAGCGTGCCTGGCTGAGAAATTCTGGGAGTTGAAGTGCACAAGTCATAAAAGGGCCAGGTTTGAAGACCCCTGGTCTAAAAGAATGTAAATGACCAGCTGTCTGCAAAGAATATAAATCCTTCCATTCCTCACCATCTGGTCAGAGCTGAAGAAGCTTCTTGGATGAGAAGCTAAACGTCTTCAAAGAAAAACAAGAAAGTCCACTTGCCTCCTGAAAAAGCACCTTTGGGACATTCCTTATACTCACTTTACCGTGGCAGTTTCAAAATTATACAAGCAGCTTAGCTAAGTCAGGAGAGGCATTCTTTATTTTTCCTTGTCCCTGTCAGCAACCACCCTACTAGACTTTACAAACAGATAATTACTTATTAACAGAAAACGGATTGTGATAGTAAATATTGAAGAAGAGAAAGACAAGAGCAAACATAGTTGCTTCTGGGTTACATGTATAGCCCTTCTCTGTGCTCAGCATACAAATAATGCTGTTATGGTGAAAGTTTCAGAGCAAAGCCAATTAATTCAGCATTGCTTTGCAGATGCATTATTGTAGAAATTTCTCATACTTGCTTGCATGAACACAGTATATGTAACATGGACATAGAGCACTAATAATACTTGCATGGTAAAAAAAAGTCAGAAACATCTTTTTTTTTAAAAAAAAAAGTAGATAATGACATAGTTCTTCTGTGGTTCTGGGATTACTTATATTGGGAGTCTCAAAAATATAATTGGAAATGCCATAAGCGTGGCTCATTAGCTTAAGGGCTACAATACTGAAGTTTTACATTTGTTAATACAAAAGAGTCTTGTGAGTAAAAAAAATAAGACTGTTGTTGAAAGAAAAATCTTCATCAGAGTCCAGTCTAAGCTGGGAATAAACAAAATGGAGACTGCTTTAGAAAGAAGGTTGTAGTTTATTGAAGAGCTCTGAGGCTCTGGGAAAGCTGACCACATGTTGCGGGGAGTGGTGGTTTTTTATACCTTCTTGAGCTTTTGTGTTTGGAGTTGTTCCTGTGGCATGAATTTTGACCTGAGGTTCAGTGTGCCTTTCTGGTATTCTAATGGTGGTGGGTTAATCCTCTTATGTCCCAAAGGTCATATCCTGCTTCCCTGGGGCTGGGGCTGATGACTATGTCCTATGTTGGATTTTTTTGGTGTGAGGGGTTGTTGATTCTAGGATCTTTGTCTTTCTAATCCCATCAGCTCCAAACTTCCTGGCTCCAATATTTCTGACAGGATTATCACATCTGCATTTCTACAGGCCTAGTTTCTGCTTGGGGCAATCATCAATATGAGAGATCATCAGTAAATTGAAAGGGGGTTCCTGCTTAAGATTTTCCATTATTCCTTTGGGGAAATATAATATTCTGCCTTTTTAATATTCCCCAAATATTTCTTTCTCGGGGGGGGGGGCGGACTGTCTTCCCACACTGTCATAGTATGCCATTACACATAATTGCAAATAATTCTACCTAACACACCTGCATTACTCTCTTATGGTCTACTGTGTATGTGCCAAAAGAAGATGTTTTCTGCCTAGTTGATTGATATGGTTGATTTCTTCCAAGCATGCCTGCTACTTTTGTCTGCTATTTTTTTCTTTTTCTATGATCTGTACTTCTGTTCTCTTCTCTAAAGTAGAATTGAGAAATGAGGACTTCATTGTTAAAATGAGTAGCACCATAGCTGACAAATCTAGCTAAGCAGGACAGTCATCAATATGAGAGATCACCAGTAAATTGAAAGGATTGTAAGACAGACTGAGAAATTTAAAAAAAATCCCCAAAGAAAGCAATACCAAGCCATTTCTATATTATTCTTATGTCTTTAAAGTGATTAAAATGAGGCCATCATTTAAAGAAACCAATAGACTGTTGCTATTAGTCCAAAAAAAGTTAAACAATTTGACTGACTGGACATCTCATATAGTTTTGTGTTGGTTCACTTTTTGGCATTTAACTAAATCCCAGTCTAAGGTTCCCAGTCATTGATTAGCTTCATGAAGCTCAAATGATTATAGGAAAGGATGATGAATATTAATGAAAGATAAAGATAATAG